ACAGTATTCAATTAGGTATTGGTTTACTGACTTTTTTATTTTGTTAATTTTTGTAAACTATGATTGCCGTCAGTTTTTGACAAGTGAAAGCACGTGCGCAAACATAAAGTTCTAATATTAAATTTTAACATTAATTTATTATAAATTATTGCAGGAAAGATAAAAATCAACTTATAATAATTTCTTAGCAATATCAGAAAACATGGAACCTTATTATTTTAAATTATTGCCAATATTATGTTTAATAAATTTGAAAAAACTTAATGATACTATACATATTATTTTGAAAATTATTACTTGTGAAAATACGTATTGTTATAACTAACTTATTCTATTTATCTAAATCTTATTAGGTACTTATGATAGTAGTTAAAATTACACTTAATTTTATACGTAATTATGTTTTATTATATTTCTAGGAACTAGGTGACTCTGAGAAGTGCGTAATGGGTTGTTGTATTTTTTCTATATGTACACAGCTTATATGCCATACAAGATCCCATTTGCCAGGATACGTCCGCAACCGATGTCAAAGACTTATGGAAAAATATACTGTCTATTCATAGAAAAATATAGTATTTCTTGTGTTTATTGTATTTTTCCGGTTATTTTTTTATAAAAATATAATTTTCTTAAATCTCTAAACTTCAATGAGAATAACATACTAAGTATTGAAAGGTTTTCTGACATGAAAAAGTGTTTTTTTTTCTATTTTTACGTGTAAAGATAGCCAGTATAGTTTTTTTTTGTGCAGATAGTCTATGATTGGGAAGTCAAAAAGAATATACTGATTTCTTATTGTCAATCATGACTCCATTGCTGGTTTTCTTGAAAAGGTTATTCATGTTTATTCACAATTAAGATGAAGATACGCAATGGATAACGTCGAATTGTCAAAATAAAAATATCAATAACTGTCATAGAAAGAGGTTGAATTACTTCTCATTATTATTCTCATTGGATTGCCTAATATCTATTTCCTTAAATAGTTAAGCTATACTTCTCGTATTTATTAATATTAATATTAGTTTCCCTTAATTTTATATATTACAAACTACTGTCATGACTAGATTACTCCACGTATCATTTTGAAAAGTACAAATTATTTAATTTATATGTAATATATACAACTTATATTGTTAATAGAATACAGTGTGCGTCGTATGAGGAGTGACGTTTGCTATAAACACCTCATATTACTAAATTTCATCCAAATTATGACGTCAGAAGTTTTGGTATTGTAACTAACCATATATATAATATATATACATGTTTTTAATTGGTTTTAGAAGATGTTTCTGAATTTAATTCAGATTTTTGTCTGAATTTGTGAATTTATAATAATATACTAAAAATATATATTAATATTATGTTCCATAATGTACAATGTACATATAATTTAAATTTATTGTAATTTTCATTTTATTTTACTATAATTTTGATTTCGTAGGTATATTGTAATTTTCAGGTAATTTTAATTTTATTGTAATTTTTATTTCACTTTTTTTGTCATTTGTAAATTTGAAATTTGTGATTGTTGTATACTATGGGTTCCTATGCCTGAAATAAATGATTTATTATTATTATTATATATTGTCTCTAAATTAAACAGCGTTTTATTCACGATTGTGGTTAATAATAGTATGCGCTGATTAGTTTTTTTTTTCAATAATTCTGGGTCAAATTTGTGTGACAATGAAATAATATCAGGCGTTTATAAATCAGTTATTAATTAGTTCTTATTATATTATATACATACTAATCGATTTTATAGGCTATCGTACAGTTGTAGAGTTGGCACTTATATATATATATGTATGTACATGTCTGCATACATAATCATACAGGTACTAAATAAATATAATTACGTTAACAGATGTCGTGGCAGGCCTCGAAGGAGATGGTATTACGAATTTGATGCATATGACAAGGATTGGTGAAAGAAAGGCCTTCAAAGGGACTAGTGGACATAGGGTTGGGGGGTCTTTCAGCTGCAGTGAGACGACCATGCCAAATACATAAACAGGTTCATTATTTAGTGGAGAGTTTAAAAGTCCCGAGATATTATTGAATTTGTGTATATAAAGGTTGATATTTATTAATTAGCTGCAGTAATTTGCGAATTTGATGTCATGGTTTGGTTACAGCAGATCATTATATACTTATGTAATTAATGTTATTTTTTTATAAATGCCAAGTCATATCAAGGGTGTCAATAATACTAGACGCGAATAACATTTTTTTTCTATTAGCTTGTTATTATATAGGTTTTATATTACAAGAAATTTTCCAGAAATTGCTATCAGTTAGTAATAAACCTGAATATTTATTTGAAAGATACAAGAATAAATAAATATTTTCTTTTATAACTATACTTATAATTTGGATTAATAAATTATTATGCATAAATCAATTTCTTTACAATATATAAGTACTAAGGAAGACATTTATTTGGAATCGTACCTACAGTTATATTTTTATTTATATTTTTTAACTATTATTTATTAATGATTATTATATTGAAAAAATACGGATAAAACTTGATTTTTAAATGAGAAAAAAAATAATTTTCGTCAAGATTTGTTAAGATGGAAGAAGTCGAAAATGCGGTCAACAAAGAGTTTACAGCAAAAGAACTCCAATTTCAATAGCATGGTATCCACACAATATGTAGAAAACAACGGCGATTACAATGATAAGATAATTTTAGTTTTCTTATTCAAAATCAGTGTTTTATTCAAACCTATAATTAAGTTTAGGTATATTGTTTTATAATAACTATCGTGAGACATACTAAATTAAGTAAAAACGCGGGTTAATCACGTGAATATACTGAGAAAAGCTCTACTAGTTTCGAACCACAGAGGGGTTCTTCCTCATGAGAAGCGTGCGCGGTCGAGGCAACGTCGACCAACGTCGAACGCAACGACGTCGCCGTTTTTACTTAATTTAGGTATATTACCAAGAGAAAATTATTTGCTTGAAAAGTAGTGCCGCATAACTTATAGCTAGGTATTTTTGAGAACATTTAGCATCTTTAGATACTTAAGGGGATTAACACAATTTACTCATACTTTTTAATGTATTTCATTAATTGTGGCTCACGTTTTGACTAGATTTAATTTTCAGAAAAATCGTGTTTACCCCTTTGTATAACACAGCTATGAGGCACAACTAAAGTAAGAGTAAAATAGTTCACATTGATTGATTAGTTCTGAGAAGATTAAAATATTTTGAATGTCGAATATTAACCGATGCTTTGTATTTTTTTTTGGGTTTTTGTATTTTTTTATTTTAAACTAAATCTTATCACAGCTAGCAATATATTTTTATACATTATTTTAATTATTATATTATTATTATTATACAGGGTGGCCAGGCAGTTGACGTTCAAGCGTTAATTTAGGTACATTATGACGAGGAGTATCCAAATCACCCCATGTATGTTATACGATTTTACGTAATTTTCGAGTTATAATGTTTCTAATGGTTTTTTTCTGTTGGACGTTAGGTACTGGTTTAGTTGTTTTGTGATGCCTGGCTAATAAAGTCTAACCCAGCACTCTAAAACGAACAGCTGTTGGGCAGAAAGCCCGCCAGGCACGATCACCTCGCCTGGCCGGAATATCCTCTTTTTCCGATCTTAGGGGACAGGAACATTAACATTTCCTTTGATTTATGTGTTCTGAGTTCAAATCGTAATCAAACTTTCGAAAAAAATACTAAGTAAATTCTGCAATGCCTAGATAAACCATAAGTTTAAGGGTGCTAGGTTAGACTATGTTAGCCAGTTATCACAAAAAACTAAACCAGAAACGTCAAAAACAATGAGAAAAATATCGGAAACCGATGTTAGGTGAAAATTACGAAAGAAACCATTAAAAACATTACAATAATATGTCACTCGAAAACTACGCAAAATCATAGAACACGTATGGGAGTACTCTTCCATACGTCTCCTCCATTCGGATACTCCTCATCATAAAGTATCTAAATTGTACGCTTGAAGTCAACTGCCTGGCCACCCTGTATACAAGGTGTAGTTTTGGAACCGTGGCATTTCTCGGGGCATGTCACAGAAGTCATAAAGGTTCAATGTAAAAGAAAGTTTCGGGCCAATAGTTAAAAATACGGCTATAATAAATCGTTTAAGTTCGACAGTATTTCAGAATAAGCGACAGCCATGTTTCTTATTGGAATTTTATGGAATTAGGAATAATATCAATTACGTGTATGAGTTTGTGTGTGTTAAGCCGCGTTACAAAACTAGTTACATGACGGCGGCGTGTAAAATGAAAAATATTAAAGTACAATTTTTTTATTGATTCGGACTCAGAATCGATTGCCGAGTTACCTCCTAGAAAAAGACGCGGCTTTAAAACAACACCTTGTATATTCTTAAAGTGTAGATTTCAGCAGCAATAATATGGTACAGTACTTAATTGCGCGTTTCCTTAACTATGTCTGGTGATTTTTATGAAATCCATGTCCAAGTTTCCAATAAAATGCAATTAAATTGCCGTACAATCTACAGTGTTGTATTAAACACGATCCTATATTACCTAATTATATATATATACTATTTCATTTATAAGAGTCGTCCACGTATGTTCTTTTAAGTCATTTATATACATACTTGTAATGTACTACTACTTACATTTAAGTGCTCATTCACGTAGGTTTAAATACTTATTAGTACATACTTATTTTTTTTTATTAATTTTTATACCTTACTTAGTATATATAGCCTATTATTAAAAAAATATACTAATGTAATACTTCGCACTTAACCTATTTTTTTTTGGGATTTTAAATTTTGTTTATCGAATGTTTAATTATGTATGTGAAACTTATTAATTAATATTTAAATAAAATGTAAAATATATATCACATTTATAACAGCTTAGTAAAAGAGCGTTTATTTACAACTAACGAAATTCACAGCTTTTTTCACTTTTTCAACTTTTTTATTATTATGACACTTCTCATCAATTATTATAAATATTTGAAATTAATCTTAATGAAGTTTTTAGATATTGATGTACCGTTTTACTTTTCAAAATAATCGTTACAAGAGAAATTTTGAAAATTCATGTGACAGTGTTAAATTGGGGTTACAAAAATATATTTTACTTCCTTCTCTCTACTTACAATATCGCCACCGTTTCTTTTCTATATTCCCCACCCAGCTATGCGAGTCACGATCCTCCTAAGAACGTATTTTGTGCTGTTTGGTTAAATGGATCGTCGCCGACATTCGTGACCCACAATTCACCATAAATGAAGTTGTAACAGAACATTTATAATACAAAGATAATAACGCCAAAAAGAGTAGGCTAGAAGATGACTATGCCTCACATTTTAGATAGACACTAACTAATATAGTATACATCTATTTAAGACTAAGCTTAGTACACATTAACATCGAAACCTTTTTTAGCTGCGATCGGTAAGCGTTCGCCCGTCAAATAAGGATTTTCTACCTGGAAACGGAAATTTTGTGTTTTAGTATTAATAAAATAAGACAAGGGCTTTCGATCCTTGCTCAAAGCTCAAAAATTTGTAAAGAACTAGAACAAGTTCTTGGTATAATCGCTTCCAAAGGATAGAAGATAGTGAAAAGATCTTCTAAATTACCATAAAAATTCTAAAAATATTTTGTGTACGCTACGAAGAGTTAAGATAAAATTCTCTTCGAGACATAAGTTACAGAATTAAACCATGCATACTAACTGCAGGTTTATACTTCTTGGCGACGAGATTCTTGTGGTGCTCCGGGAAGCGAAGGTCGAGGTCGGAGGAGGAGTCGGGAGGGCAGCTGAACATGTGTTCTCCATCACACATGCAGCGCTGCGCGAGCTGGTACTCCCGACTGAAGGCTGCCGTGTTCTCGAACTCACTGATGCAGCCTTGATCCTCTGGTGAACGTTTTAAATTGAAGGCACAAAACATTTTCAATAGTATGACAAAGGGCGATATACTATGTTGTATGATTCTGATGATAAAAAAAAACTGCAAAGTTGAGGAAAAGTCAAAAACAAAGCATAGAAAATAATTAAGTAGTCACTAGTTCCAACCTACAAGACCTACTAAACCAACTATATCCACCAAAATCAATAACCTTCTTATATTTCAAGTTGGTTAAGAAGAAGCAGAAACGTAAATGAAAAATTTTAAATGATGATCTGAATGTAGACCTAGATGCTGTAAACGGTACCTGTGTATCCAACGGGGCAAGGGTTAGGCGGGTTGCAGTATGCCGGAAGCACAGCGTCTGTCTTTACCATCTGTCGGTTGGGGACTACTCCGGACGGCTGGAGACGCTGTTCACCTTCGCCAGCACCGCCGGTTACGTACTGATGCCCCCACAATGAGCTACCGAATTTTAAGAAGATTATAAGAAATTCAGTGGTTGGTAGCAAAAGTTTTCTATAGAACATTCTGAAATCCCTAGAAAATTCTGGTCGTTGATTTATAGCACGTCAATGATTGCCTTTAGAGACAAGTTGTGGCATTAGCAACATACTTTTAAACTGATTTTAAATAATAACTGATTAGTCTGATTCTTATGAATTGTTTAATTTAATAGGGTAGTGACACGATTAGCGTAATCATAGCGAAGACCTTAAGGCGCGATGCCAGTGATGATGAAGATATTGTGGAATGTATCAAGAGATACTTTTAACAAGCTGATTTGATAATCTTTATAGGCTCGTCACTGTATTGGAGCTAAATAAAACATTTTAAGTAATAATTAAAAAGTCAGTGTACATCTCTGGCTAGTTCACTGAGGAATATCAAACGTACTATGAGTTCAGTGCACAGATATGACCTCTTTCAGTTGTATCTCGTCTTGCTTTAAAAGCGATAAAGTCTAATGTGTGTGATGAATCCGCTACGAGTGGAGAGTATGCATGTTATCAATGGAGGGCTATAGCTATAAATATCTTAGCTTGTGGCAGAGCCGCACCTCAAATGTATTGTTTAATCGTGTTATCCGTCAATCTTAATGCTGTTAATTTGTTCTAATTCCTCGTCTAGACTTGATTTGTCTTTTTAAATTAGGACAACTGTATACAATGGAGCGTTTCTATTGTTATTGAGTGTTTGCACATTAATTGTTTGTTAGTTTCCAATTGTTCTCAGACGGGAGTTAATAGGGGAACCGGAAAAGATTAATGTGATCATGAATTGTCACATTGAACTCGAATGCTGTACATCTAATATTTTTTTTGTAGAACCTGCTGGAATTATACGCGTTAATGCAGCTGGTACTTTCCATTGTTGCATTGCAACTGAATACAACGACATTAAAAACCTTTCAATCCTATTATTTCTGCATTGCCTGGAAATAATAGAAAACTGGATGATCTTGAGAAAGCTCCACAAACCTGTGCTGCAGATATTCCTGGTCACGAAGGCTGGGGTTGGGGTTACCGTCGATGAGAGAATCATAGTCCAACTGCTCGTTCTCCAGCTCCTTGTTAGCCCTGGCCATGAGCGCGAGGTGGCGCTCACTGGCAGGGTACTCCAGGTAGCTGGAGGCCGCGTCGTTGAACTCCTTGCCCATACGCTCCACCACTTCACGTAGCAAAGCCTCCGTCAGCATATGGTCCTATGGAGAGAATCTTGTTTGAAACCTGAGTGTAGCTGGTTGGAAGCCTATATTAGATCCACTATTCTGAAGTTTTAAAGAGGAACTTAAATGATAACGTGATAAATTTTAGATAGCCTTAGTCCAGCAATAGACCGAAACATACTGATGAAGATGATGATAGTGATGATGAGAAGCTTCTTAGTCAGATCTACGTAGTTAAAATCGTTTAGAAATAAGTTAAGTTTCAAAAAACTAACCTTTTCCCCAATAGACCCATGGGGGATAAAGCCCATGGCCCCGACGATGCTTATCGCCATAATTAATACTTCTGGTTGGCCCATTGCGAATCTGTGAACAAAGTTATCATCAATATTGAATTCATTTTTTAAGAATTTTTAAACTATCAAGATGATGAATCCCAGCGTGCTCTGTGACTTTCCGATTTTTTTGGAGTAATTAAGTTGTGTAATGTCCACCTACTTCGGTTAATTCCCGCGATCTACAACAATGTCTCAACCAGAATCCTCTTCAACAAGTAGCAACAGACCTCAGAACGAATCGCACAAAAACATTCATAAATCCATCAATGTTAGCAATTAGTCATCAGCATCAGAAAAATGCAAATCAAGAGAGTTTTTATGAATCCTCGTATTCTGGTAAGTACAATTCCTATCAATCAAACGATACATGACATAACATCATTGTCCGATGATTTTGTTTAGAAAAAATGAGCTTGGTCCATTGTGTGTGGCAGTGTAGGCGGGAAGATTAAGATAGTATCAAAATGTTTGTACCGGCGTCCTTTGATCCGCTTAACGTCAAGTACATAATTGATTTAATTATGTTTAAATTAATTTTTGTATCTACCTGTTCCCTAGAATCATAAACTGATAAAAATTTGGCAAAGAAGTGCTTAAAAACTGCCTTTATTGTTGAAGCTGCAGTTACTTGCGTGCCAATGTTAAGTTCTCCTAACTGAGTTTCATTTTCATATTTAATTATGTCTTTATTTAAGCAACTTATGTAGGCCAAATCGCATTGAGCAAGCATGGTGATAAAGCTCTAAGCATCTCCGTTCGAAAAGAGGCCATTGGTCAGTAATAGCCACTTGCCACTTATTGACTGTTGATATTATTATGATATAGGACAAATAATTTTTTTTTTTTTTTTTTTTAAAAACGTTGCCCCACACTAGGATTTTCTCCTGTGTCGTGGGTGCGTTTACAAACATACAATATCACATACACATCACATCACACCCAGACCCGAAACAACAATTTGTGGATCACACAAAGAGTTGTTCCGTGCGGGAATCGAACCCGCGACACGTTGCACGGCAGCCGGTTGCCCAGCCACCGCACCAACCGTGCAGTCAATAATGAAAAATTAATTCTGAAAATGTTAATGTTTGGATGTTTTGCAGAGTTTTCTTTTAAGCACCTTTAAATTTTAAATTGGAATGACCTGTCTCGCTCGTTTCCTTACGTACACGCATATAGTTAAGACCCGCTGACTCAATTCCAATTCAGGTTTCTATCTCCCGACCAATCCGTCCAATTACCTTAATGAAATCAATTTACTATTGCTAATAATTATTTATATCTTGTATTGAGATGTCCTGGGAAGTAGTAATTCTATTTTAATTATGTTTAATCAAAAGTTATGAAAGACATCCGTGTGAACGACCCGATCTCATGTTCAGATTAATGGCTGTTGCAAGAACCTTTTATGTGTTAGACAGGAGATAAAAGTCATAGGTTGTTCGTAAGATACATAATAATTATATGTGTCATGTTAGAATCGGTGTGGATAGTTGGGAATTGAATGGCAAGAGAAAATGTTTTGTGAGATCAGCTCAAACAATAGGCGTCCTACAAATGACAAATGCTTAGACACAATAAAAATTGTCAACGAAGCGGCAACGTTAAACCGTCTATTGTTTGTGAAGGATGCATGCATACGTCAAATGACGCCCTTAAGTTTCCCTTATAAAACGCAAACAGTACGAGTACAAAACAAACAGACAAAGTAGTTTGCGGAATTGCTTCAATACGTATGCAAGAAAGCCTGGTAATATAATTTCAATGCATATGGCTAAGTGTTGATAAAGTACCGGTCTGTAGAGCCGGCTGAACATGGTCCAGACACGGCCTAGGTTCAAATCAGAGCTGTACACGATGTCCATTCACTAGTGTTCATTCAAGCTTTCTACTGACAAAGAGTAGGCGTGAGGAGGCGCGGAGATGCGACACTGGTAAATTGTTTGCCATAAGTATTGTTGCTAATGCTGATTCTTTCTCTGTGGTAGAAGAGGCCTTTGCCCAGTAGTGGGACAGATTATTATTACTATTATTTATTATTATATAGTGTGATGAACTGTGAACCCTACACGAAAGGGACGTAAATAAAGTATCAAATCTGCTAACTAGCACTGTATAGAAATATTGACAAAACATTGATTTGTTTTAAAAATGTCCACCAAAAATGTTTTTAAATACATATTGCATTAAAAAAATTAGTCGTAACCAAACATGTAATGTTGACCATTTACAAATTTTTATTTTATAAATTAAAAGCCTTTTCTTATGTTTAATCTGTGTACAGTGCGGGTGTAGGGGTGCGGGGCGCACCTGCGCGGGCGCCGCTCGTGGGCGGACGATCTGTCGGCGCGTCCACGCGTCCCCCGCTTGCAAACCACGGTATAAGAACATACAAATTTAACAGAAGGCTAAGTAAAGCTCTTTTACCTGTCTAATATGTTATGTGAACAAGAAAAGTGACTGATATTTGATTAAGTTGGGAAAGTCACAGGATCAATTTTGACTGAACGGTTGGCGCGATAACTAGGCAACCGGCTGCAGCGTAACGTGTAGCGGGTTCGATTCCCGCACAGAGCAACTCTTTGTGTGATTCACAAATAAATTTTTCGGGTTTGGCTGTCATTTGTATGTAATATTGTATTTTTTTAAACGAACTCACGACTTAGGAGAAAATCCTGGTGTGGGGCAAGGTGTAAAAAAAATAAAAGAAAAGAACATAGATAGGAATGAAAACTGGGCTTTATGGGTTCTCAACATCATTACTTACATTAGTAAAAGCGCGATTTGGTGTTTGGTAAAGGCTCCTTATAATTAATATGAGGAGAAACAACAAACATAGGAAAACAGAGGCATGTAGTTGTGGCTGAAAACCCGTTACACCTTGCGCAGCATTCGCAGTTGCGACCAGTTGACATCAAAAGAGAGTAAGTCCCTCGTCTAACTGTTACGCGAGCAAGCTGAAAACATAATAATTAATTTGGTTTGTCTCACGAAAGTTTTCATTATCATCATTAACAGCCTGTTTTCATCCACTGTTGGACATAAACCTCTCCAACGCACGCCACTGAGCTCGGTCTTCATCTCTACACATCCAACCACTACCAGCCACTTTACGTATCGTCACTCCACCTAGCTGGAGGGCGCCCTACACTACGTTTGCCTAGACGGGGTCTCCACTCTAGAGGCCTTAGTACGAGTTTGATTTATGTTTAAAGTATTCGAAACGAGCACGCGTTCGGCGCTGTGATTGGTTGCTTCATTGGTGCCGGCCAATCAGAGTGACGAAGGCATACTCGTACTCGTACTCGTATACATAAAACAAACTCATACTAAGGCCTCAGAACATGTCTACCCCAACGGTCATCGGTTCTTTGCCAAATGTGAGAGGCCTACTGCCATTTCAGTTTGTTATCCTTTGAATCCATTGGACTACATCGGTAGCTTTAGTTCTCTGTCGTATCACGAAAGTTCCAATATAAACAAATTAGAATACAGTAAGAGCTGTGATAAACAACAATTATGCGATAGTAAATTGAGAAAGTTTGCTTGAAATGAACCTTCTGAATTAACTTATCCTGTAGTTATACCTTTATCATTGTCAAAGTATACTTGCATTTTGTTTTACATTGACTAACACGGACAGACGATTGCGTCCATCTATCGTAATTTGTGGTCAATAGAAGTAAAATTATTCTTCTAGGTTTAACTGCAGTATAATTGCTTATATAATGTACACTGTACAGTGGTTCAACTACCGACGAAATCATACTAATGGTATAAATGCGACACATTGTGAAGATGTATGTGTATTTGTTACTCTTTTACGCAAAAACGGCTGAAGAAATCGTGATGAAATTTTGAACAGGGGTAGATTATGTTCTGGAACTACACGTAGGCTACTTTTTATCCCATGGGCACGCGAGCGAAGCTGCTGGCAGATGCTTGTACTTCATATTAGTGTAATGAGTGTAACAATTTTTTATGACAATTTGACAATGACTTTTTCTTATATTTCTGTTGAAATAATGTTTTTATTTATGACTGCCTCGTTGGCCAAGTGGTCGCAAGTGTGACTGCCGGGCAAGGGGTCTCATGTTCAATTCCCGGGTCGGGCAAAGTAATATTGGGTTTTTTAAAAATTCTCAGTAGTAGCACGGAGTCTGGAATTGTGCTCGGTATATAGCAATAGGCTCACTCCCTATTACATGGGGATCATAACATAAATAGTGAAAAGTGGGTGTTATATTTTACAGTGGTATAATGTACACCGCTGCTTACCCCTTCGTGGATAAAAGGCGTGATGTTATGTAATGTTTTTAACTCGTCGAGTACCGGTTTTGCAGACACAATTATAGAACAATAGGTTGCGGTCACCGGTGACCGCTTGGTGTTTGACAGTTTAAAAAGACGTATCTACGACACAGGAAACTACTCTAAGTGAAAGGCAAAGTTATTTTAATATCAATATAAAGTTACAAATTGATGGGTATTTTACAAAGGGTGTAGGTGTCAAATGTGTGTGTGTGCAGTTTGTGTTTGTAAGCACATACGACATACAAGGAAATCCTAGTACATGGTTAGGTACTATTATTAATCTTTCGTGTCTAATCGCGGTTTCACGCGAGGCACAATGTATTTTCAATAGAAATATTGAAATTGGAACTTTTGCACGCTCTGATTTACAGTTGATGCTAGTGCCGGGATGGCGAACCATTGGCACGCGTGCCACTGATTTATTTATTTATTTATTTGGACATCCAGTTGTTGCTACATTTTTATCATTAACTTAAAATTAGGGATTAACATCTTACTACTAATGTACAACATTTGAAGGACATCACAGCATGCGTTGAGTTGAGAACACTATATCAATTAAATTAAAATTTGATGACGACACCCAACATAATATACTGTCTCAAATTGGTGTACAATAAAGATTATTATTATTATTATAATATATTGGGCACGTCATTGATCACAAAATCTGTCCTATGTCGTTATTTGTTTTCAGATATGAATACCTTACCA